GTGTCGCCTCACTCTCTTGGTTCGTACTCATTTCCAGTTAAATTTCCTTCGCTTTCGTTTTTTTCTGCAATAATTTGTCGTGAGCATTACTCTGTGCTTAACTTTTACATTACGCTTATATTCATTATATACCTTCCTGTCAAGAGTTTACAATTTAGGGTGTTACTACAAAGTTCTGATATGACCACTGTGCTTTGCGGTGATTGTTGTTATTGCTGTTTATACTCCTAGTTCGCACTGGCTACTCATACGCCGTGTCGTATCAGATGAAATTTAATACATAATTATGTATGTATGTACATTAGGGTGGATCGACAAAAAAAGTTTTTCCAGGCTCATTAAAATCGGACTTAAAATGGCGACGTAGTGTCAAAAAAAGTAAATAAGCCCATCGGGGGGGGCGTGGCAAAAAAAAATTTTTTTTTTGGGATCACCTTCAAAATATCTTTAATCCTAGGGGTGGACTGGAAAAACTTTTTTTTTTGTATGGGGACCGATCCGCACTAATGTACATATGCACTTGTGCAACAACAACAATGCATCGTGCTATGTATTCCTTCTCGGTAATGCTTGTTATTGAAGCACACAACCATAAATTTCTATATCGATGATCTTTGGTGTTTTATTGCAAAAGTTGAAGTTATTCGTCGCGAATTGCAGTAGCTGAGCGATGAAAATGCGTTTATTGGTTTTATGTGTATTAGGGGTGATTTGTAACGAACTATCTTTATAGATCTTTATTCATAGTTTCATTTAAAAAGCGTTAACAATACTTATTTAGTTTTACATTTTAGATATATGAAAAATCGATGTAATTTTTTGTTGCTGCGCTGCAACTTATTTACTGCGGCCTCGACTTCCGTCTCCGAATAGAAATATTAAAATAAGGAACATACACTTGTAGTATTCAATAAGAATTAAGGCATTTTTACGTTATTCGAAAACAAATTTCCACAAAAACATTTCCGAAATTCGGACTTGTGTTCGTTATAAGCGATATCTAATTCCATTTGCGCGTGGAAATCTGTTCGCAATAGCCGACATCACGCTATAAGCTAAGCTGTATCGTTATAAGCTAAGCTGTATCGTTATAAGCGAGTAAAATTGAACTATTTTATATGAACATCCGCCACTTAATCTGTTGTTCGCTCTAACCGATAGATCGTTATAGGCGATGTCGCTATAAACGATATTCAATGTAATTGAAATACGTATCACCATATGGGTGTCAGATGGAAAACGTCTTAGAAGGTGTTAATTTGAAAATTTTTTGAACAGGGTTCCCACTAGGTTGGGAAGTTGAATTTAATTCAAATATGCGTAAGTTATGTGAAATATTAAAATATGAATGTGAAACGAAAGAGTGTTAATAAAACTTTAGTTTAAACATTTCGAATTTTTTTGAGGTGTTTGAAGAGGGTACCCCACCCCCTGTTGGAAAATTCAATTCAAATTATTTAATATCTTAAATGAGTTAGTAAAAGATGGGTATCAATCGAGATGGGGTTGGAAAGAATTTATTTCAGAACTACATATGTATATGTAGCAGGGTTGCCACATGTTTAAAAAATTAAATTCAATTTCACTTGCGGAAGGAGGTAATTGAAATATATAACACAACTAGCAGACCTGGCGAACTTCGTCCCGCCCAAAATTTTTATATATGTATTTTATTGAAACTTTTTGGTCCAACATTTTTACCAACAATTCACGTTTACGATTTTCATTGGCACATTCGTCTGCTAAGATTATGGTTTGGTGGTCATTTGCCGCTTTAAATAACCTAATAAATATCCGTGAAGAAGTTCTTGAAATTCTCCAATTGTGCGGCATTTCATAGCACGGTTATTTGCAAAGCGAAATAAATTTTTTTCTCTTCACTCCCTGGTGGCAACAATGACCCGGTTCTATAGTAAATGTCCTAGAAGCTTTACAGTATAGTTGGTGGCACTTTCAAAATGGGTGCGAATCATTGTTCTACAGAAATGCAATATACATATACTCATTTCAGACGAAATACCTTAAAAGTTTGAACGCATAATAATATTGGAAAATCACATCCATTGGGCCAATCGCAACGCAGGAGCGTTCGATATACCCAATGCTGCAACAGGTCGATTTAATCTGACCTACACGGCCTCTTTTGTCACTTGACTATTTTTAGTAATAGCTCGACTTCAGCACCACTTGGCAGCACGTTTTTGCAATAGTATTGCATACATATTTAAAACATTAGCCAAATCGGATCATAAATAAGATTTTTAGTAATAACTCAACTACAGCGCCAACTGTCGGATTAAATTGTGAAACTAAACCATCCAGAGACCCACTCAAACACACAAAAAGTTTCGTTAAAATCCGTACAATCATTTAGGATGATTTCACTCACCAACACACCTACAAAAGAATTAAAAAATACATTCAAAGATAGCTAAAAAAGGTCGGTACGTTTGTAGGCCTCACACCCCCTTTTCAAATAGCCCAAATTTTCTCCATGAGTATGGGCTTGATTTCAACTACATACATATCTGAATACTTTCAGAGATATGCAGTATAAAAATTCGATTTATTGCGATTGATTTCGTGCATCTCCATACCAAGTTCCTGAACTCTACCATGCACACTTTCAGAGATATGTAGCATGAGAAATTCGGTTTGTATGGGAAGTGCCACGCCCCCTTTACATATAGATTTTTGTTTAGCCTAAAACCATCCTTGGGACACGTGCGGCAGGTGGCAGTTTCAAAAAAATCGGTTCAGCCGCTCTCGAGCCTTGCGAAAACTAAAAAACGGCTTTCAAAATATATATTAGCTGAGATATATTATATATTATAATTATATTTTGACAGTATCCGTTGTTTTTGATTGGCGTAAAAAAATCTTGCCAAGTGACGAATTCGCCCCTTGATATGGTCGTTGCTCAAAGCTATTTATATTCGAAATTGCATTAAAATTGGAAAACAGGAATCTATAAGCTTATCCAGGTAAAAAGCTACCTACGTACCGAATTTTAAGCAAATCGGACCATAATAAGATTGTTTCGAATAGATCGGTCCCTGGTCCACTTCTCGGAAAAAATGGACCATATATGCTACGTACCGAATTTTAAGCAAATCGGACCGTAAATACAATGTTTTCAAATAGATCGGTCCCTGGTCCACTTCTCGGAAAAAATGGATCATATATGTTAAAAAGCTACTTACGTACCAAATTTAAACAAATCGGACCATAAATGCGATTTTTTCGAATAGATCGGTCCCTGGTCCACTTCTCGGAAAAAATGGATCATATATGCTAATACATGCTAAAAAGCTACTTACGTACCAAATTTTAAGCAAATCGGACCATAATAAGATTTTTTCGAATAGAACGGTCCCTGGTCCACTTACACGAAAAAAGTTAATCTTTTTTTAGCCTAAAACATGGTGGTTACCAAAAGCTATTTATATACAAAATTTCATGAAAATCGGACCAGCCGTTCACGAGTATATAGTTATAGAGTATAGATATGGGTACAGGCTGAAAAGTTTTTAAAAATATTTTAGTTTGAAAATATTTTGAAGAGGGTTGCCGCCTGTTTCGAATATAATAAATTTAATGAATATTAAAATATGCGCGTAAAATGAAAGAGTGTAAGATATGTATTTTTAATTTGAACATTTATAGTATTTTTGAGATATTTGAAGATTTGTATAAATCGAAATGGGTTTGGTCGATGAAAGTATGCCATTTTCGTGGAATACTCGACCACATCATTTCCCATGACTTCAAAGATATTGACTTTTAATAATTTGTGCAAAAAATGGCGGTAGTTTTTACTTTTTATTTCTTAGGTGTTGACGCTAAATCAAAATGATTTCTGATTTTTCAACGATTTCAAAATTTTCTTTAACTTTTTCGTGATATTTGTGGCACTTCTTGAATTTTACCGTGACTTTTCGTGTTCGATTGGGGATTTTAAGGTTTTTCGCGACAATTGCAAGTTTTTTTTTTTAATATCACGGGATTTTTGTTTTCGTATTTCCCGAAATTTTTTTTGTGGACTTTTCATAAAGATTTTTTTCGATGGCTTCTCGTGATTTCTCGTGGTTCATTAGGCGCTTTTCGTGATTTTTCGACACTTTTAAGGTTTGTTTTTGGGTTTTTTTTTCGCCCCCTTCTCGGTTTTCATTCATTATTTACAGCTAACAGAATTTTTGTTACCAGTGCTGATAGAAAAAGTTTCAGTGTTCTAAGTTTAGATCAAAGTGCTGGCCATCGACAACATGCAAAATCCTAAATTTATATAAATCCGTAATTCTTAGTTTTTATTGCTGCTTACAATATGTATGTACATATGCAACAGTAATTTTTTAAAGTCAAGCTTGGTATCCATCAGGAAATGAAAAGAAAATTTCTTCGCAGCGGAAAGTACTTTTTCAAGCGACAGAAAAAATTAAAGTATTCGTATTTCATATTATATCTTTATTATTTCTTTTAATTTACATCGTACAATAAATGTCTTCCCTTTTCTCTTTTCAGGGCTTAAGTCTCCATTTATCGCCTACAATAGTCAACTCTATTAGCAATTGTAGCGTTCCAGCGTTGCTTCGTTTCAAAACAAAAAAATGAAGAATTGAACAAAATTTCATTAAAATGAGCTGCTCGCACAAATCTACATTAGAAAGCACAAAAGCGAATGCACAAGCACATTATTAGAAATATAAATGTCATAAAATTAATACACACCACACCAACACACGACTCAGAGCTAAAAATCAAGCCTGAACTTTGCCATATTTTACAGTATTCGCTAGGAAATTAAATGAAGCCAATAATTGCAGCATCAACAACTACAACAATAAACGAAACATATCGAGCCGCCGCTAGAACGCACCATACACACTTATACATATACGCAAATGTGGCAACAGCAAGCAGAAAAAATAACAATAAATAAAATAGCAGCAATGGTAGTAGAGTCCCAGTCGAGCACATTCTTCATTCACATTTCAAATTAGTGGCGTGGAAAAGGAATTGCGTGCGACGGAAGAACATACGAACAGTCGTTGGGTCATTTGGCACGAAGCACGACAAACCAGAGCGAACGCATAGCAACAGCGTATTGCGACAGTACACGAAGAAGAACCAACTGTCTCAATCGCACGAGAAGTCAACAATCGCAATCGGTAACGGAAACAGGTATTGGCGTTGAACTCAATTGTTTGACAGGCCATCTGTAAGCCATATTACTTGTCCCTGCGAGAGATTTTGTATTTTCCTCAACCGAACAGTGAGCGAGTGAGTGAGTGAGTGACTGATTCATACATACATACTTACAACGTTGTACATACATATTCATATGTAATGACACGCCATTAGAAGAAAAGGCGTTAAAATACCAATAATTGGTAGAGCCGCAATAAACATTTAACTTGAACATAAAAGTTACGCTTATGTAAGCAGTGTGCGCCATTAACTTCAGCCTATAATAAGATTATCGGCCCTTTATTGAAGCGCAGCAACTAAAAAACGGTCTCAAAAACTGCTACTTAAAAGGCCACAACAGACATAGTCCGCCGCGCCCACCAACTCTTTTCTGCGGCAATACGTGCAAGCCGCATTTGAATATATCCGAGAGTGAAGAGATTTTTTTTTTCCAGCCGGCCAAAGGATACAATAAAAAACCGCCAACCTGGAACTAATGGAATTAGAGAATATTGTGGCCAATACGGTCTACTTGAAAGCCAGAGAAGGTAAGTGAGATATTTACATTTAATATTTAGATAAGTAAATAAGCTGAGCGCAATGCGAAAGCAGTTAATATTTTATGAGCGCACGATGGAGGTATCTAACTGTAGATAACGGTAAGGCTAATGTCAAAGACACAGACAGTTCCAAGACAAGTGAATTGAACGGTTGGCAAACAAGTAAAAAGGGAGCTATATATACATACATACATATGTCGGTAGTCCTCTGCAATAGCGAGACAACTCTAAACTCGAAAGATTTAGTCACGATTAAATATTAAGGGGCAGTTTTTTTTTTTTTTGTTTTGAGTTGTGTCGTTATTGCAGCCGACGATCGCTATAAGAAAATATTTCGATAAAGATGTTCAAACTAAATTAGATAAGGCTTATTCCTACGATAGCTGGCCTACATACTGGTATGACTTGATCTTTACTCACTTGCTTTTATGAGAAATAACGACATTTTTCGTATTATGCCGTAGTTCAAAACATAGTTTCAGTAAGGCAACTAGTAATTTTTTGTTTATTGGAATAACGACATTTTTCGTTTTGTGTCGTTGTTCAGTAGTACCAGTGAAGTTCTTTTTGTTTAGCTACTTAGGAGTTCTTACTTATTTCGTATTTTTTAAGTAATTTGAAAGTTTACAAATTTTCCCTATAGAGTGACTGCAAATAATACGGAATAATTACGTTCCAAGATATATTATTGCTAAATTACGAAACACAAAATCTTTCATTAGCTCCACAGAAAAATATGAAATTTAAAGTTTTGTCGGTAATGCAGAAGACCATCGATGTGTGCATATACCTACATAGAATGAAATGAATATTATCAATATAAAACTAAATATCTAATATCTAAAAAATATCTGTCATAAAGGGACTTTTATTTCTGGTTCAGAAGTAACCTTTAACTTTAAAGCTCACTTTATATTTAAAGGTTAGACTAAAAATAAAGCTGTGCCTAAAGCTACACATTTCTATTATCGGTTTTTGACGTATGTATGTATGTATGTTTCTTTGTTGTAAACCAATTTAAAACCGATAATAAAATGCTTTACTTTAGACACAATCATATAGCCTTTAAATATAAAGTGAGCATTTAAGTCACAGATTACTCGAGAAAACGGCTCTACATAAGTGAAATTTAGTTGTATAGGTTAAAAGTTAATTTATTTCTTTCGACTTTATGGTAAAAAACTAAGCTAATAATCTGAAGATAATTTTATGGAAAAGACTCATAACAGTTACAGTCCCTGCATTTAACAGCAGAGCACCAAAAATTAACTAGCCTATGTGGGATGAGGGTTGTGCTCTTCAGTCGTTTTAACCTAAACGAATAGTTATTTTTATACCCGAGCGCACTTGTGCACAAGGGTATTATAACTTTGTTCACATAACTGTTGTTTGTAACAGGCAAAACGAATCGAGATAGATATAGACAAATGTATACATAAATGATCAGAATGAAAAGAGAAATCGATTAAGCGGTGACTGTCTGTCCGTCCGTCCGTCCGTCCGTCTGTGCACACGATAACTCGAGTAAATGGGTAAAATCGGACAATAACCACGCCTACCTCCCATATAACGGTAATTTTCAGAAATACAAAAACTGCGATATTTTAGTAACTACTGAAGATAATTCACTCAAAATTGATATTTATAATAAATTTTAGACGAAAAATAAGAATATTAAAATTTTTTTTTAAATGGGCGTAGCCACGCCCACTTATGGTTACATGTGTATATCTTGGTAACCGCTGCATCAATTTATTCCAAACTTGGCACAGTTGTTGGCCCTGTTACAGCATACCAAATGGCCGAAAATTGTTAAAATCGGACAATAACCACGCCCACATCCCATATAACGGTAATTTCGAGAAATACGAAATCCTCGATAAATCAGTAAATATTAAAGCTAATTTATTCAAAATGATGGTTGCAACAATTCTTTGCCAGGAAATACGTTTATGATAAAATTTTGGAAAATGGGCGTGGCACCGCCCACTTATGATCACGTATATGTATCTCGCTAACCGTTTTAGCAATTCGTACCAAACTCGGTATGGTTATTGTGCTTGCCACATAAAAGTAAACCATTGAAAATTGTTGAAATCGGACTAAAATTATGGCCGCTTTTCATATAACGGTAACGCTAGTTTACTTAAAATTTATACACGCCGGCTTATCATGTAGCGGTAGCTTTCGGAAAGGTGGAAAACAGATATTTAATACTTGCGCCGGGTATTTAATGTTCGGCTCCGCCCGAACTTAGACTTTCTTACTTGTTTTCTTTAGTTTACAAACCGAATTAGTTTTTCAACATTATTTTTGCGTTGGCCAACGCAAAATTTCTTATCAAGTGCCACCAAGCAAGCCGGGCATTTGCTAGTTTTTATATAATCGAAGTTCATGTCAAGCTAATATCAGATGTGAAAAAAAGGAATTAAAACCGATTATCAAACGAAGTCAATACATTCGAGTGAAGTGAAATGAAGCATAGCTATATTAAGAATAAAGACTTAATGCATCGTAAAAAGCTTCTACCATTGCTTGAGCTTACCTCTATATGTATGTATGTATGTATGTATGTAGCCCTGTTTTCGAAGAAATTCAATTGTTATAAAAATGTGTGGAAAAAACTTTGTTGAATAACCCGTGGCAATGGCTCATAAATTGCTATCAAATTTTCTACAATCCTTTTGTCCTTCCGTCAAAATGCCTTTAACAGCATTTTGTGCAGTTTTTAATTATGACAAATAATGAAAAGGGTGGTGCGTCTTCACCAAATGACATCCTACACAGCGAAATTGGTTGCCTTGCATTCTCAAGCGAGTGTCAACAAGTTTGTGCAACTCGTTTAAGCGGATTTACTCTCAAATGAAGTCTCCACGTAGTTAAAATCTGTAGATGGCAGCAGCAATTAGGCCTTAGGTAGTGCCTTGTCAATGAATTTATTTTACTAAAGTTTATAAAATTTTTTTGAGTGGTTGTGTTGAGTGGCTCATAGTGGTAGGCTGCATAGTATAGATAAGTTACTAGCTGATGAGTGTAACGAAATTTACTCGTGTTGCCTTTAAATGCCTTTACTTCACTTACACAGAACTGATTTCATTTTTTTTTAATTTAAAAATCCAGAGACTCTTTTGCTACATGTTTTTCATGTTCACAGCAAACTTCTTTTCTACGACTACTGCTATTTGCATTTTGCCTTTCTTTTTCGGAATTCGCTTCCGTCGTGCTTATTGCGATGTGCTTCCTCTTCCGCCTCCCTCGTGTTCATGAAATTTGCCTACAGATATCTATTATTCCCTAGCGGAAATACTTACCAATAAATTATGCATTTCAATCAGCTAAATTGATTTGGCACGTACAATGGCTGAGGTCAGCATTGGGCCGACCAAGCGCAATCATATTAGTAATATTTTTTGTTTAGTTGCCAGGGCGTATGAGCAACATAAATATTTTTACGCATTTTTTTCGTTACGCTGCCGATGAAACGAATACATGACGTGAAATCACTATTTTTTAAAGCTGAGTAACGGTAAATTGCAAATATCTCGAAAAGTTATCCATAGAAAAAAAAATGATCTCGATTTTCGGAATCGTCGAGGAATTCTACATGGGAATTGGATAGTGGCGTCCACAGAACATTTTTGCTGTAAACCAGTGTTATATATAAAATTAATTAATTTAAAAAAAAAAAATCGTTTTAAAACAATGTAATCTAAAAATTTCAAGAAAATTTATTTAAAAAAAGGAAATAAAATATAAAAAAAAATCAATTTAAAAAGGGGAAAAATGTATTAAAAAAAAAATATGGAAAAAGGAAAAAAAAACGTTGGGCCGTAAGCGAACTAACTTCGTTTTATTTAGACTAAATAAATATATCAGACAAGCCTTTCACAAAACTAAATTTTCACAAAATGCAAACTGATCGGGCATACATAAATAAAGGGGACAAAATTTTTGCAAAAGAAAAATGTAAATGAATAAAAAAATAAATAAAAAAATATTAAGCTAACAAACAAATCGCTTTGCTCACTCGGCCATTACCACGGTTACCACAGCGCGACAAAAAGGGTATACACACACGATTGAGCTTTTTATAAGACTTTCGTGCTTCGGAGGCGCATTTTTGTGCTTTTTCTTCTGTTCGAAATATTTGGATTTATTTGAAAAGGGTCCTGTTAAGGTCTCCAAATATACATTCTATCTAACAGATCCCACCTTTCGTTCAATGTTTATATTGCCAAAATATCTTGGGGAAATTACCTGATCTAGAAAAGCGGCAAATAGGCCCGCAATCGATGACCCAAATTAAGCTTACGTGTTTCGGCGATTTTTTGTGTCATTTCAAAACTTGATATTTTGCATACAGTGAAATCTACATCAATACGTTCTTGAAAAAATTTGTTTTCACTAATGTATCAGTCTTTTAAGTGAAATTAAAAGTAAAAGAGCCCGGATTTGCAATGTAACCCGACAATCTGTAAATGCTAATGAACCCACCAATTCCCATTGGCTTCAAACGCTTTCGATTATCAGTTACAGTGGTGTAGCTTACCTGCCCAAAAGTCAAAACAAACAGTAGCAATGAACAAACATACATACAGATTACGATTGGCTGTATAACTTAAACTTTAAAGGAGCGCACTTAATTGAATCACGAAACTTCGAAAGTTTTTCAAACGCTGCCTTCTTTATAAAATCCTTAGCAAGCGCTGTATGTCTACACGAACAAATTTTTTGTACATTAATATGTATGTAGGAGAATAATCAGCTACTCTTGGCGGACAAGAAGAAGGCACGTCTCCACTGCTGTCTACTGACTGCGTTTGTATTTATCATCTATGCAGTCTTTCGTTTTATTATTAATAAAACAGTACATTCCTCATACCCACTAAGTCATTTCTATTTTGCCCCCCCTGGCTATGGTCTTTTGTCAACAAGCGTTCTTAGGTAATCTACAGGCTTTTGTAAACCTTATTTTAAACACAATTTAG